TATTTCTACAGTATATATAAATACAGATATACACATACATACGCGCACCGGCAGATGCGGAGGGACCTAACTACAGTGTGCCTGTGTGTTTATACACCTACACTACACAAAGTTAAAAAGTCCGTGAAGACGGAGGAGTGTGGTACCATGGGTGTAATCTCCAGGCGAGTTTCCTGACGCCGAGCTGGTCTTAGAGGTTCGCGGTTCCAGTTTTGATCAATCGAAGACGGGCGGGGCTCTAAGACTTGGCTGAGATGACCAAATTTAGGAAGATTCTACCTATAGTCTCCATTGTAGTTCCTTTTTTTTGGTTTAACCAAATCTATATTAAAGATTTTATAAGGTATCCCCCAAAAAGGAACTACAATGGAGACTATAGGTAAGATGGGCACGCAAGAATCCCCAGAAGGAACTGTCGTCCATCAGACACCCCTCCTCCGGCTGTTCGGCCAAGCTTTCAGGGAGGGGTCGGTGCTTCTTGAAGATTGAAGAAGTTGGGATGTTCGGAAACTTTCAGGCTTAATTAGCCGATTTTCGGACCACCTGCTTCGATCTCAAGGACAAGAGCTCCTTGTTCCCATTTTACCTCAGGTCCAGTATCGCATTCCGTGGGTGCCTTCCCCCAAAAACCCCCTGGGCTTCCCAGCACTACTCCTCAACAGCTCCTTAAAAGTACAAAATGTCGCGCAAACCCTGTTCTAACTTTCCAGGCCCATAAATCCTTCGGTCCCTGAAAGCAACCCTTGTAGAACCCAAGGAAGGCGTGCAAGTATAAATCCCCCAGGTAGCTACTATATAGGGTACTAGAGCCCCTAGGGCCATATATGGTAGGTACCTGGGGGGTTAGGGCTCGTTGCCTTCAACACCAGGATGCAGGCAGCTCCCCGAGCTCCCGTCGTGCCTGGCAGCGCCGCGCCCGGCGGTTTCTGAGCGCTCGGAGCCCCGGGAGCTTTCCGGCCTTTGCAAGCGGTTTGGGCATGCAGTAGACGGTGGGAGGGATCCCATCGCGGTTTATACCCGCATACTGAGAGCTGAGTGGTCAGTGCCGAACGGGGAGTGGGTGCGGACTTCAGGCTTCAATTTTGGTAGGAGTGGTTTTTCTGAGGCAAGAAAGCCTGCTGGGCAGGTTGGTCATTCGGTGTTATCAACATCGTGCCTTGTGCTTTGTTTGTATTTGCCGACCTTTGTCATTGACTCGGTCGATGGCAGTGACGAAGCCGGATATCCAAATGAGGGATCATAGAAACTCCGAGAGCATGTTTTAAAGTAGATGCGTCCGTAAATTGCGAGCAATCGAATTCCTCGTAAACGATAAGAGTTAAACAATGATAACGAATATGTTCGTATTCTTAGGCCCTCTGTGGTAGAGACTCTGTGCCGCTTTAGGTAGCTTGGGCTTGCTCTGGCAGGTATTCTGTTCCGCTTGAAGTCTAAGTACACAACAAAGACAAGACAACATAATCTCCCGATCGAGCCATGGTGTGGGCTAAGCTTGAGTTGAGCCAATTTTGGGTTGGGTGGTTGGTGGTCTCGAACGATAGCAAAACGATAACCAAACGATAATAACAAATCCAAAAAGTAGGCATCTTCGACCGAAGGCACATCCTGTCTTATTTGGAGATTCAGAAACGTGCTACAAAGGCACCAGCTCCTACATGCCTTAACCCGAAAACACGACATTAAATCCTTGTTCTTCCTTCTGCTGCTGCTTCTGCTGCTGCTGCTACTGCTGCTGCTGCTACTGCTGCTGCTACTGCTGCTGCTACTACTGCTGATGCTGCAGTTGCTGCTGCTACATCCTGCAGTTTCAAAGTCCTGTAAAACGATAAGAGTCAAAAGTGACGACCGACTTAAGGGTCAAGCCAACGGGTTGGTTTTTTTCACGTACCCTCAAATGTCGGAGTTCAGCAAGAATGACATCATGCCGTTTGTCTAGCGGCAGTGGGAGAGTGTTCGTGATGTGTTAGGAGCCTTTTTAGCTCTTGTCCCCGAACTCGTCTGACATCGTCGAGCGCCAGTGCTGAAAATACTACTCTATAATAGGAGAGTGTTGCAATCATTGCAACCTCCGTACTTGCAGGCATCCTGAGCTTCAAGTCTTGAGCCACGTCTTGCCGCCGTTGCGCTGGTATGTAGCGTCTCGCGCGCACCACGATTTAGTGAATTGTTGTGAGGCTGGGCTCCGCCCCGGGGAAGCACAAGAAAGCACAGGCCATCGGAAGTGCTCAGTTGTTTCTGTGCCTCAAGATAGCGGTTGAAAGCCTTCTGCCGGCAGTGGTCATCTGCGAGAATGGGAACCCGACTTGGTGCCACTCTTGGTATGAAACCTGAGCGAAAACTCGTAGGAGTGCACCAGACCGAGAACAGAGAGTCTAAGCTTGCAGCAGAAGTCCCTAGCTAGCACTTACGCAAGGGTCATCTGCCAGGTGTATGGGGGGCCGGGTCCGTTGAGAATGAAGCGCAAGATTCGCTGTCAGGCTATGCCTTCGTCTTTGCAGACGACTCGGAGGGCTTTGTGGCTTCAGGCGCCTGAGATGTAGCTCTCGATTTGCAGCCAGGGGGTGGCAGTGGTGGATCTCGATGGCATGATGATCCAGCTGCCGTAAGCCGCCACTTCTTTGATTCTCGTGTTGCTGTTTTTGTTCATGAATTCTTGGCTATGGCCCAAAGGGTCCAAGTACCAGTATAGTATATACTTTTGGGGCCCAAATACCTACTAAGTACCTGCTATAATGGTACTTGGACCCTTTGGGTATGGGGGGTGCTATATGACCATGGTCGGGATGACGGGAACGTTGTTGAATGTCACAGCGTGTCATGCGGCGGCCGCGAGATGTCGATGTATCCCTAAACCCTAAACCCCTAAACCCCTAAAGCCCTAAACCCTAAACCCTAAACCAACCAACCAACCAACCTAAACCCCTAAACCCCTAAACCCACCAACCAACCTAAACCCCTAAACCCTAAACCCCTCAACCAACCAACCTAAACCCCTAAACCCTAAGCCCCTAAAAGCCTAAAGGATGAGCGCGATCTTGATGCAGGCCAGCCGGAATGGAAGCCCAGGGAGGCTCGGAGACTGTTGTTATGTGAGGGCTTTGATAACTAGAATAGGGTTTAGGGTTTAGGGTTTAGGGTTATGTGAGGGCTTTGTGGTTCATATAGGGCCCTTGATAATTAGAAAAGGGTTCCTTTAAAGGTTTCTTTAAAGGGTTCTATAAGGGCTACTCTAAGGGTTTCGGGTTTAGGGGCCTTAATAACTAGAAGAGGGTTTGGGGATATACTATACTACATACGTATAATAAGGAACCCCCAAAACCCGTTTGGGGATATACTATACTACATACGAATAATAAGGAACCCCCAAAACCCTATTTTCGAATTATCAAGGCCCCTACATTATTCGTCCTTGGAGTTTTCTTGACTTCGCTGCCAGGTTCGGACTCGAGTGCCTGCCTATGAGCCATTGCTGCGGTTCCGCAGAACCAACGCAAAAGCAGTGGACCCTTTGAGCAACAATCCCTAACCCTCCAGGCACCTACTATATATGGCCCTAGGGGCTCTAGTACCCTATATAGTATTTACCTGGGGGGTTTGGGAATTACAAGCTGAATGAAACCCCGCGGCCTCGGAGGATGTCCGAGGTATACGGACAGAAACCCAGTCTTGCGGCATCTTGCGGCGAGGGTTGGGGCCGACATTAAGAGGATTACGGACAGCCTCCAGGCTTGCCAGGGGACGCAAGTAACTCTCGCGTTGCATGCATGTGAATGATTTTGGAATCTAGAACCATATGTATATACATATGTATACACACACAGTGGTTTAAACATTGCACGACAAATATAAAACACATAAACAAATAAAGAAACCAATAAAACTATAAATATATATATATATATATCTACATATATGTATGTATGCATACATATATATATATATATACAAACGGATACGAATCGTCATCTTCGTTAAAACGCAGGAGCTGCATGCTCTGGCTGAGCCTCTCTGCGGTTCGCCAGTGCTCTTCAGCTGGTTGCCCGGCTTTGCTGGGCTTCTCTTCAGGAGAAAGTTTCCTAAACCCTATCATCCCTAAACCCCTACTGGTTTAGGGTTTCTAGGGTTTCGGGCTGGGTGTAGGGTTTTAGGGCTTCGGGGGTTAAGGGGTGTAAGGGTTTAGGGGCTTAGTGTTTGGGGATATAGGGCTGTAGCTTGCAGGTTTTAGTTTAGGGCTTCTGTCGGCTCTTTGAGGATTCCGTGGTGGCCCCTTGTAACATTGCCATAGACCTTCTGCTGCCGACATGCGTCGACGGCGCGCATCAGCTACCACGCATCATTCGGCCTTAAGTTTCAGAGATTGTGGGCCTCGCAACTCTTCCAGCATCAGTCACTTCTGAAGTGCGATGACACGTTAACGTTGTGGGGATACGCCGAATTCGCACTTTCCACATGCAGCCGCCTCTCGCACGGTTTGGGTTTAGGAGGGTTTAGGGTTTACGCCTTTTTGGTACGGAGACGCAGTCACCCACTCCAGTTCAACTCCTTTTGGCCTGGAGGCTCACACACGGCTTCAATGCCAGTGTGCTAGAAAGGATATTCTTATAGGTATTGGTGGTTTTGGGGTATAATCAGATTACTATACTATCATATTACAAGATAACTACCCAAAAACCCCAAAGCCCTGGTCTAATAGAAAGGACCCGACTCTAATTATTCAGACCCCATAAAGTATACCCGTGCGGTAGCCCTTACAGAACCCACGACAGGAACCCTTTAACTTTAAAAGAGCCCGATTCTAATTCTTCAGGCTCCGTCCAGTATACCAAAACCTGCGTCGAGCCACCGTTATAGAGCCCTTTAAAGGAACCGTAGTCTAACTACTGTTGACGAAATAAATGGTTTGAATCCTGCATTACCTTAAGGACCCTAAACTATAGGAATTATGATATATTCCTTATTATGGTAATGCAGGATTTACCTCATCACCGTATCAACCCGAGGCTGGAGTGGCTGAGGACCGATGCCGCCACCGCCTTCCCACCCACGGCATTAGTCTGCTCGGAGGATCCCTCCCAAGAGGCAGAGGGTGTGGGGTAAACCCCTATACCCTAAACCCCTAAACCCGGAACCCCCCAAACCCTAAGCACCTAAACCCCAAACCCCTAAACCGTAAACCCCTCGACCCCTAAACCCTAACCCCCTCGACCCCTAAACCCTAAACCCCTCAACCCCTAAACTCTAGACCCCTAAAACCCTAAAACCCTTCGCCCCTAAACCCTAAACCCAAAGTTTGGGGTTTGAATGTGGTGTTTTGGAGCCATGGTTTGGGAGTTTGATGTCTCGGGGGTCCAGGTTTTTGGGACTCCGCCAGGGTTTACGCAAAGCCCCCCAACAGTAGGTGAAATAATGGCTCAAAGCCCATAAAGGGTTTAGGGTTTAGGGGTGAAATAATGGCCCAAAGCCCATAAAGGCCTATTGTTCTACATACCTTTGGGGGTCCAGGTAGAGGTGATGGTCCAATGGTGCAAAAGTCTACCTCCGGAGTTCTTGTGGTTTACTTTAGGTCGTCTCTTCCGTGAGCTGTTTTTTCTTTCGAGGTGCTCTAGGGGACTCTATCAGGGTCTCGTATGTATAAGAGCTCCATGGGTCTTTTGTAACCGAATGATTCTATAGCAGTCCTTAATCGCCTTATACCAAGGTTCTACAATGCTGCAGAGTGTTCTAACACAAGGGTTTCTAAGATGGTCTTCATGACAAGGGTTCTACAAGGTTCTCGTAGGAGCTCTAGAAGGGTCCTACAACGCAACGGTTCATAAGGGTCATATAGTCGACCGGAGCGCTTCCTATGAGGGTCTTCATAATACATGGGTTCTAGAAGGTTCTGATCTCGTAGCTGGCTTATAAAGCAAAGTTTGTAGCTGTAAGGGCTCTAGAAGGGTCGATGTTTGGAGCGCCAGGTGGCGCTCCGAGAGCTGGAGACCGAGGACTTCTTCGACGACATCCCGCTACTTGGCATTGAGAAGGATGGACTACGAGCCATGACAAACGCATGCATGCATGCATGCATGCATACATACATACATACATACAAGCTTTTCGTGTGGACTGATGCGACCATAAACTGACGTTTGTGTGTGTGTGCGTGTGTTTCTATACACGCGAAGACGAACTCACACAGTTCATCTCGCCGTGTATGGTTGCAACATACGACATAACTAGCTCCAGGAGCATCCCATGGCCTAGGCTCCCGCAAAGAGGCATGACCTGGTAGAGTGGAACGAATTAAACATGAGAAACAGCCGGCAAGGCCCTATATAAGCACTAAAGCCCTAAACCCTAAACCTCGCCGGCCGAGAAGCCACAAAGCAATGCTGACCCGCCGAGGTCAGCAGATCCTGATGAAATCTGGAGATCTGCCAAGTGTGAGATCTTCGGCTGGGGTTCCTCCTAGGTCCGGCTGACTTAGGATTCATTAGGGTTTAGTCAAGTGTTTAAATCAGGGTTCAGGGATTCAGAGAGAGGATTTGTGGATTGCGGCATTTCGTTTGAGAGCCTGGGCCAAGGTATCTTGAAGATTGAGTTCAGGACTTGGGTGAATGGGTTGCGGCCACGGGGGTCTACATGCGCTCGGACTGTCTTAAGACGCCAGCTGGTAGTTTATGTTCTTGTATTGGCTGTTATCTAAATTATCAGCGCCTGTCTGCCACTGTAAACTCGAAACCCTAGCAAACCATCTTGTGCTTGTTCCAAGCATCGTGGTGCATTGTCTCGGGTCTTTCGCATGGTAGCTGCGTCGTCAACAAAGCCTGTTCAAGCGATGCCTCATCACAAGTAGCCTACATGTACATGAACTTCAGTATCGTAGGAACTTGCCATGTAAACGTGAACTTCCACAGGCATTCAAGGGTTTGGGGTTTCAGGGTCTTGCTGATGAAGAGATATGAAGATCCTGCTTTCCCTCTGTGCAACGAAGCTGCAGCACAGGAGCTGTGCCATGCAGCTGGATTCGGTTGCGCGGGTTCACCTCCAGGCATGCCAGCACTCCTTCTGCTGCTTGGACTGCCATCATTGCAATTATTACATGCGAAGTTTCGCATGCATGCATGGTTAGTTACAGGTTCCCACCGACCGGAGCACAGAGTTACAGCGGCTCTGTACATAGTTTCGCTATTCTGCATTCGCCGATCAGACTTCTTCTTGCAGAGCTCTTCTTTATTTGCACCTACATGGCGTGATGCCCGCGTGTTGCAGCGACACACATCAAACTCCCAAAAGTTTATGTGCGTGTACATTTGTGCGCCTACTGCTGCGAGTAATGCGCGGATCAAGCATATCGTCCCGTCCTGGTCCCGATTGCAGCACTTTCCCGCTGTGAGGCCCGCAGTGTGCAGCGACGTGTTCCCAAGTCTTCGCTGCCAACCAGCAGACCCCGCGACTTGGAGTTTAGGGTCTATAGGGAAGATTGATGAAGGACGTGCATCGAACGTCACCCGACTTACCTCTTCAGTCTAACAAGGAGTCGCCCAGCAAGAGGTGCAGAGACTGACCGCAGCACGCTTGGATTCTTGCTGCGCCCCCCCACATGCTACTTCCCTCTATCCCTGCCTCCCAGTCAAGCATGTTTGCATTGAAGATGTGTTGCAGCCAGAAGCGTCATGCTATCGTCTGTTCCGTAAGGCAATTGCAAATTACAGGGTTACCATCTGCAACCATGCTGCTAGAATTCTGCAATCGCAGAGTCTCTGCTTCGGAACCCAGTATAGACGCTGTCAGGTATTGTCCTTTGGCCTCCTGTCGAGCGACTGCGCCAGAGCTCTTACAATGGTGCCTGGGAAGGGTTGAGGAATCCTTAACATACCAGAGTTATTGCATTCAAGGCGCAGTGATTTCTCTAAGAAGAGATCACGATGGTCGGCAGTACTTGCAACATGCATGGAATGAGTCGACCATATGGGTATCGACAGAGCCTGACATCTTTAGCCCGATCGCCTCGACTGCATTGTGACCCAACCGTTCTGGCGGATCTGAGGAATGAGACGCCGGAACTCTGGGTGATTGTTTCGAAGCGAATTCTGTCGGAATCCATGCCTTTGCAGGCACGGTTTCTAGAATGAAGTTTAGGCATATGGGAGGTGGCTCGCTGCTGCGACAGATTCTGAGATGCAGAGCCCATACATACATATCAAAGGGGCAGCACTTCGCTAAAGTGCCCACGTATTTCAGGAGGTCTGCGCAATCACAGACTCAGACCTTGCTCAGAGGCAAGTTATGTAGGAGAAAGGCTTTGGTGGCCGCATGTTGATGTTCTGACGTGTGGGTCATCGCCAAGCTTCAGAAACCATTGTAGACCCTAAACCCTAAACCCTAGACCCTAGACCGCCAAGAATAAGAACGGCATTACAGTTCAAGAGAGCTCCGAATCTCGAGATGTCACCTGCCTTACAGGACTGCATCGTTTTCTGCCCTCGATGCGAAGATCGTGGCATGGAGCCTTTGATGGCACGGTTTAGGGTTTAGGGTTTACGGTTGGCAGCCTTTTCCTTGTTCCCTAGAACCCAGCTGTCCAAGTAGATTGCTATACGACGAAGGGCTTCATATCTATCTGTCCACCTACCTATTTATGCATCTGTATCTGTATATATATATATATATAAGGCTTAGGTGTGTGTATATATATATATACATGCATGCATAGGCACATCCATACATATGTGGGTAGTAACCTACTCGATGGGTAGCTGGGCTTCTACGGGATGTTGTTTGCCCGACGTTGGGTTTACGGCACCTCCATGGACGAGGTTTTGGTAATGACACGTTTTATCCACAACTTTAATCATGCACCAAAAATGATTATAGACCTCCGACACCCCCCATGCACCCCCTCATTGTAACGGTGTTGGATAATGGATATTCGCACAGGACTTTTTTCGAAACTACTGTGCTTCAACAACTGGGAAAATCTTCGAGACATGCCCGCCTTAAGTACTGATTGGGGGGTTGACTGATGCTCTACTACTCCGCCTTATGTTCAGTTGCACCCAGCAGACCTTTGGACGCTTGCCTCACCTGGAGCGTCCGAGTGCGAGCGTGAGCGCCGAAATCCTTGAACTACGAAGCCCCCAGCCCCCCTAAACTCCCTACACCCTAAACTCTAAACCCTAAACCCCAAGCCCTAAACTTAAAATCTAAACCCTAAATCCTAAACCCACAGCCCTTAGCTGCGCCATGGATGCTGCGTGGTTGCAGGTTTCAGGTGCTTGGTGGTAGGGGCCTCATAGACGTATTTTTTGGGTTTAGGTTTTAGGGTTTAGGGCGACGGCAGAACACTCTTGGCAAATTTGAATTCCGGTTTCGGGAATGAGTTGGGGAAATGGGCTTTTGGGGCGTGGTTTATCAAGTCCAAGGGCGAATGGGGGGTTCGCGAATTGGAGTCGAGGGTCTTGGGGTTCGGAGGGGTTTAGGGGGGAAAGGTTCTTCAGGTCCGAAACCCGTAAGCCCTCTAAAGGGTAGTACAGGGTTCTATCAGAGATTTCCCTTAGAGAGGACTTCGTAAGTAGGTTCTACATGGAGTTATAAGTACCCTAAATGGAGTTACCCCAATTATGACCCTACTTATAACCGACTTACTAAGTCCCCTGGGCCTCCAAGTAGGGTTCTATACACCCTAAACCCTAAAGCTTTAGTTCGGATGCAGCCGCACCTACCCCCCCTAAACCCTAAACCCTAAACCCTAAACCCTAAACCCCAAACCCAAACCCAGAGGCTGAAGCCAAGAAGCTGCCAGAATTACCGAGGCAGTGGTTGTCGGTTTAGGTCTTGCGGTCTCACGTTAAGGGTACTGTCAGGTTTTTGGGTTTAGGGTACTGTAAGGTTTCGGTTTTATAGGGTACTGTCAGGTTTTTGGGTTTAGGGTACTGTAAGGTTTAGGGTTTATAGGGTACTGTCAGGTTTTTGGGTTTAGGGTTTAGGGTACGATAAGGTTTAGGGTTTCTAGGGTACTGTAAGGTTTAGGGATTAGAGGGTACTGTAAGGTTTAGGGTTTAGGGTACTGTAAGGTTTGAGGGTTTAGCGAATTTTGGGGTTTAGGGTTGAGGGTTTAGCGAATTTTGGGGCTTAGGGTTGAGAGTTTAGCTGGTTTGGGGTTTAGGGTTGAGGGTTTAGCTAATTTTGGGGTTTATAGGGTACTATAATCCTGAACACTCGAAGCCGAAGCTAAGGACATTCCTGTTGTGATTTCGGTGGGTGCTTCCTCTCGAAATTGCCGGTGCTGGAAGCACCTCTGCCTTGAACTTGCCACTGCACGGAACAGGAGCAGGGAGATAAACACAGAGACGAACATGACGAACATGCCGATACTAATATAACTAGCCTCCAGGCTTGCGATGCTAACGACACAGGAAAGGATGCACAGAATATATGCAAATTGAGATCACGATGCAAATCGCGAGAACGAAGAATATGAGCACTATCAAGTGACGACGACGATGTTGGTGAATAAGGATACGATGATGATGTGGTGGAGATGATGATTATAATGATGAGCATGGTCATGCTTGCAGTGATGACACTGAGTCTCAAAGTGGTCATTCTTTCCGCCATGGCAGCACACTGCTTGATTTTGGCCGGAGCATGAGACTCTCAGGACTGTGGCACCCCACCTCAACTAATTGCTAGCACGGGAGCCTCAATAGGTTAGTAGTGCTAGTCGTTTCCAGCCTTTGCACGCACTAAGTTTATGATTTGCATGGCCCAAACCCGATGTTCACTACCCCCAAATGACCTTGCTTGTGCCTGTGCGTCACATCCCTTCGTGGAGCGACATGAAATCGGTTCAGCCCTCATCAAGAGTCACGGACCTCAGTTTAAGATCAAGATAATAAGGCTCTGCAGTGTGGTGCTGAGCTCCGAGCTCGCATACGTCGTAGGCCATACAGCAAAATTGGCCTTTGTGTTTCGAACCCTAAACCCCTAAAACATAATTTAACCCCTACCAGAAGTCCCTAAACCCTAAACCCAAGGTGTCAACACCAATTCTGCTCCATCTGCCGTTCTCCCAACCACTCGGGCTCCTGCTTCGACACTTCAGATCGCGTGAAGCGAATGGCGTGGCTCGGCCGGGGCGGGTGTGGGGTTGAGGGTCTGGGCTCAGGCTTCAGGGTTTAGAGTATAGGGGACTGGTGTCGGGAAACTGTATTATTATAGTTTATATAGTAGATTATAGTAGAATCATATTGTTTTTGCTATATAGTAGTATTGTAGTAGTACTATAGTATGCTACTTGTATTCTTTTTATAATGACTACATTGGGGGATGATGGTCTGAGATAGGAGCTTCAACATTGGAATCGAGGTTCAGGTCTGCAGCGCCCGAGGGGAATTCGTTAAAGGGGTTTAGAGTTTAGGGTTTGGGGTTTAGGGTTTAGAGTTTAGGGTTTAGAGTTTGCCGTTTGGG